AAAAAAAATTGTTTCTGATTGCAAAAATGCTCAATTGTAAATCCAATTTGGCAAAACAAATCGGAGATGCTTTATGTTAATGAAAATGCACATTTGAACGTTTTGATGATTCTAAAAAAGGGGGAAAGAAAGTTGAGTTAATCAAATCCATTATCAGTAAAATAAATTTTGGAGTTGAAGATCTGTCTACGGCAGAAGTGAAATTGTGTCGTGGAATCTGCGCAACACAGAAACTCCCTTTTACTTACCTGAAAACAGGAAAAATTCCGAAAATCTTTCGGTTTTAGATGACTATCACTGATATGGATATCGAACACAATGCTCTTTGTGATGCTGACAGGCTCATTGTGGGAGAAGGTACGTGGTAAACATCTGCATCCCCTGCATTTCCAGCATCTTACTTCTTTTATCCTAGGACCTGACAATGATGTTATCCATCGATATTGTTCGCGAGAACGAAGATTTGGTAATGAAACGGAAGATGAGCTGCTAAAGGATAGATTCAAGGTTTATCTGTTTACTATTTTGAGCAATAACTTTTCGCACCTCTTTTCTTAATTTATATTAGCCACATCTTTCATTTATTGGTCGGTATTTTCATAATCTTTTGCCGAGTTTTTCATTTTCTCACGTTCATTTTATAGGTGATAAAGTCCAGATCGCGCTATCTTACTCTTACCTGGACCACCGACTTCAGTAATGAATATCGTGGTTGGAGAATTGACTACGAGTTTATCCCAGAAGGATCAGGTATTTATCATTGTGAAAATTACTGGAAAAAATAAATCATTGACTGATTAGCGTGTTTTCTAGAATGTGGATTTACAACACATGCAATGTCCGGTGTGGTACATTCTCCCAAATGGCCTGAAGACTATGGAAATGATGAGGAATGTATATGGGATATACAGGTAGAAAATTTTTATGTTCATCCCCTGCGAGTTTTGTAATTGTGGTGCATTGTTTATAAAACACATTTAGGTCCCACTTGGCTACCATATTCATCTGCAGTTTACGCATTTTGACATCGCTCCATCTGAGGATTGTGCAAAGGATTCACTCATTGTGAGCATATTTATCATTCTTCAAGAATTTTTTTTGGACTGAAGAGGGCTTAGTAATTCGCTTTGAGTACTTCTTGAAGTATGCTATAGTATATTGAATGAGTACTGTATAGAAGTAGCTACATCTAGATATCGCAAGAACACTCGTCCCGAGCTTTCGCTCCGATTGGCGACTACTTCTTCCTGTTTGAAGATGAAGAAGCGCATTCACCACTCTGTGGAATCACCTTACCCAAAGCGTTCCGTTCGGAAAGCAACAGGATAAGGTTCACTCAGTTTTGATGGATT